AACGTCCTTTCCATAAGCAGTTCTTGCCTTCACAAGGACCATGTAGCATGCAGCGCGTGATGATTTCATGAAGGCATGGATCAGCAACAACGTCTGGAATTTCAGCTTGGACCAGCTTGTCAACTTGCTCCGGTGTATCAGGCTTATTGTTTTGGGCTAGTGTCAACATTAGATGCATATGGGGCATGCCCCATTTCTGAAATTCTATAGTAGCTACATAAGCCACGACTTTTCCTAAAAGGCTTTGCTTGACTAAAATATCAGTAAAGGCTTTGAATTTTAATTTAGCGAGTCAGGCCATTATGGTTGGATGGTTTGAGGGATCGTCTCCTACAGGAATCAAATCCTTTAATTCGGGCCATGCTGGATTTGCTGTGATTGTAATAAATAAGTCCGGTGTTCCAAATTCACGCACAATGGCCATGGCATCCTGATAAAGCTGATCCACTGCCCGGGGGCCTCCGATAAATGTTGATGGCAGGACCACTCTTCTGCCATTTGGTTCGCTATTTTCCCCAAAAGATTCAATGAGACCAGCATACATCTCAACCTTAAGGGTCTGTTGATTATGTGTAAACCAACTCAATTGTGAATGTTCTATGCACGCGTACATATCAACTACTAATTCTTGATGCAGGGCTCTTCCAACAAGGAAGGCCGAGAAATGATTTTGTCTGGAAAACAAAAGATAAGCCATCCATTCTAATTGAATTATGTGCCGGAACTTAGGTTTGTTCTCGTTGGTTTGAAGGACTCTGTAGGTCGGCTCCCACTGTTGCAAGCCATAGGGAAAAAAGAGCGGATAGCGCAAGGGGAAGTAGGCTGAGTGTAGGTCAGAGATTTGTTTCAAAGTACCATTACGGCAATGGAGAACAACGTGGTGATCATCTTTAGGTAAGCAGTCTCCTTGTATGATGAGACCTATGTCTTTGCTTGTGGGTCTATTGTACCGATTCGGATCCATTGAAGCATTTTTGACGGAACGAAGTATTAAAGATGTTGTACTACCCTTGCTCATGATTTCTGCAGCGTGGCGGAATAGTTTGGCATAAGGATTCCAATTGTACATAAATGTCTGTAATTGAAGAATAATTCTAGCATCAAAGCGTGCTTGACCCTGGGACGATGCTTTGGGACCTAAGGCCGCAAGCCTGCGGTACTTTGCTTCTTTCATGCCGCCCTGGCCTATAACGTAGATTTGTGCAAAATGAGGTTGTTGATTAGGTTGAGGAAAAAGTGAACCTATGTCATGACTCAGGCTCCCTTGGATTGTGAACACTGGCCAGTGGCGCCCCAGGAATAGATTTTGCTATATCACTTAGTGTAAAGCCTAACGATGTCAAAGAAATAGAATTGTTATATGACCAAATGTATTGCTGGAAAAATTTGGCATCTACATACATGGGTCAGCTTAAATTGCAATATCTAAACCAAGATGAAGTCTTACCTTCATGGGTACCAATGAGCAACTCTTGAAGAAACCTTGGAATTTGAGGAGCAGATAGAGATGCACAGGGAAGTACGACATTTCCTTTTTGACAGCAAATTGAAAATTTTGCCCTATTTTTTTGACATTGATAATTGCTCGCTCTTCAGGCCAATGTAAGGCTCCACAGTTGGAACATTCCATGTTGCGAGGTTTTAGCCTATGCTCACCTGTAGGGCATATGGCTAGGATGATGGGCGAGACTTGATCAAGTATACGTGGTGAATCCATGGGATTAGAGAACAATGAAATAACCACGATACGTGATTGTAGAGATATAGCAAAATTGATGGGTTAGAATAATTGGAAGGTGAAATTGAAATCAAGGAGGGAAAAGTCAGTCCAAAGTGACAAATCAACCTTGGATCTATACTCAGACCAGACTCCAGTTGACAACTTTTGTGCATGTAAAGTTGCCTTGTTTACATCTATGAGACTCGGTTTTTTCAGTGATCATTGCTTCTTCCTATTGCGTCCTGACATGTTGTCCAGAATTAGGCAACAACAATACAATAAAAACAATTTTTGGTGAATTAAGGGCAACATAAAGAGACTCTCAACTAACAATAGGTGAAGACAGAGCAAACACGAGCCTGAGTTAGGGCATAAAATTCAAGAGCTATGTTAAGCTCTATTTGAACCATAACAATGAAACGCATTAAATTGTTGTCGACCACAAGTCAAAGGTCCAAGACTATAATCCTGTAGTTACACGTTTCTTTTTAGCTGGACTGCCCGGAGGGGTAGCTCTTGCTTTGCCTTTTCTGATTGGAATACTGGCCAATGGGCCTTCATCCGGTGAATCTATCGCATGGGAGTCGGGGCTAGCCCTACTGGTACCCTCCCCCTGGTCTTTGGGTCAAGCACTGAAATTGGAGGGGATCAAGGATGAGGTTGAAGCAGACAGAGCTGTATTGATGTCGTCTCTTCAAAAGTGACGCTAAAAAATTATTACTTAGTTTACATTTCGTGAATAGTCTCAAGTCGAGACTTACAATTTTCGTCACTTATTCATAGGGCTTGGTTGTGGAGTGGATACTGTAGTTTTACTGCCTAGGCTTGTGTTTGAAATCATTACGGGACTAATGGCCAAGACCTACACAAATGAATATCAGTTTCCAACATATAGGTATGGAAGTAGCAGCGGTGGGCCGCTACGCTACACTACGCTACGGGCCCATGTAGCGTTAGCGTAGCGGCGCCAATTTTTTTTTTTTTTCGTGTAGTGTTAGCGCGCCGCTACGGCCGCTGCGCTACGCTAATTTGTAGCGGCGCTAACACTAACCTTTTTTTGGTGTAGTGTTAGCGCGCCGCTGGCGCCGCTACGCTGTGTTACGCTACGCTACAGCGTTTTTAGCGGCAAAAAACCGCTAAAAACGGCCGTAACGCAGCGTAGCGGGCAGTTTTTGGCGGCCTGTGCATGTAGCGTTAGCGCAGATGGGGGGAATCGCGCTAACGCTACGCTAAACGTTAGCGCACGTTTTCGCCCCATGCGCGTAGTGTTAGCGCAAAAAAAGAAACAAGCGCTAACACTACGCTAAATTGTAGCGAAAAATCGCTACACTACGCTACGGTTAGCGTAGCTGGCCCACCGTTGGAAGTAGTGAAGTGACGGTACTTTAATGATAGCCATGCGTTCCTTCAAGTCCCATCCGCATCAATACCTGTCAAAGAAGAAGTCGCGCCCACTCCTAATCATGGAATGAGTGTTGATTAATCTGGGATTGGCGGGAACAATATACTTAGAGCATCTCCAACGCGGGTGGTATAAGTTGGATATACCACCCGCGTTTGCGATTTACCAACTGAGTTCTGCCATGTGCACCACTGCAAAGTGGTAAAACCAGAGTTAAACCTTCATGAAAGGTCAATCCCCGGTGCCATCCATCACCCCCGAGTGTAAATCCTAGCAAGCTGTACTAATTTTTGTTTCCTACCATTCCAGATGAACGTAGATTTCAATGAAGACCTCGACTTTGATGCGCACCTACAGGTGGTACTTCAAACCCAGCGGATGCTATTTTCAAACGGATTCAATCAAAGAATGACCTTAATAAACTCAACAAACCTACTTTTCAGTTTCTTAAGAAGAAGGGAGGACAAATAACCACCAGTGCACGGTGGATCCAGACCAGGCCGCATGCCCAACTTGCCACGAGACTTTGAGGCAGGCTACAATCGACTGTTCCGCGACTACTTTTCTGAAAATCCTGTCTATCCGGATCACATTTTTCGAAGGCGATTCCGGATGCGACGGTCGCTTTTCTTGAGGATTACGGAAGATGTACAAGAACACAATGACTACTTTTTGCAGAAGGCCGACGCCTTGGGGAAACCAGGATTACGACCACTACAAAAAATCACCTCTGCCGTGCGAATGCTTGCCTATGGCGGTGCTTCCGACTTGAACGATGAATACCTCTGCCTAGGTGAATCAACTTTGAACGAAAGCCTTATCAAGTTTTGCCGGGCAGTCATTGATATCTATGGAGCTGAATATACTCGCGAACCCAACACGGAGGATTTGACTCGACTCCTTGCGATTGGAGAGAAGAGGGGATTTCCAGGGATGCTTGGATCCCTGGATTGTATGCATTGGGAATGGAAAAATTGCCCATCCGGTTGGGCTGGGCAATTTCAAGGGAAGGAGAAGGTAAATCAAATTAAATCACTCCCGGTCTTGCCTATATTCTGATCTAGATCCCATCACCCAGGTACCTACAATTGTCTTGGAGGCGGTGGCTTCTCAAGATTTGTGGATATGGCATGCGTATTTCGGATTGCCAGGCTCCAACAACGACATCAATGTTTTGGATACATCACCCCTCTTCAAAAGCCTCCTCAATGGTGAGGCTCCACAATGCCAATTTGTTGTAAATGGCAACACTTACAGGCATGGCTATTATCTTGCCGATGGAATTTACCCCGACTGGGCAACCTTGGTCAAGACAATCTCGCAGCCCCAAGGACTCGAGAGAAAATACTTCGCCAAGGTTCAGGAGGCTTGCCGCAAAGATGTTGAAAGAGCTTTTGGGGTTCTTCAAGCTCGTTTTGCAATTGTGTCACGGCCAGCTCGAGGATGGCGGCATGGAAATCTACAGCTCATTATGAAGGCATGTGTCATCCTCCACAACATGATTGTGGAGGATGAGAGAACATTAAATGTAGAAAACGTTTACAATACCTCTGCTACCATCTCAGAGGTCAACTTGGAGCGATCGGACGCTAGGACCGATTTCTCAGTGTTCATTTCTAATTTTCGCACCCTACGAAGCCAGGCAACTCACATCACACTGCGGAACGATCTCATTAAGCACCTTTGGGCCATGAGAGGAAGATCGGAGGATGAATAGATTTTTTCTTCTTCATTTTCAATTTCATTGATGTAATCAATGAATACATAGATAATAAAAAAAACAATGATGTCTGAGTGGAAACCGCGAGCATGTGAAAGAGATCTTTGAGAGTAATTGGACTGTGATTGATAAAGAGAAATAAAAAGCATGAAAAAACCTCAGATCGAGCACTGAGGTATATCAATTGAGGTGGTTGTGGGTTGAGGATTGGTAGCAACAGTTGTTGCTTGAGTACTATTAGAGATGTTGGTCGAGGAGGTGGTTGCTTGAGTGTTGCTAGAGGAGGTTGTTGCTTGAGTCGGAGTGCTGCAGCTCGCTTGAGTTGATGCTACTCTAGCTCGTTCGGCTTCAGTTCTTGATCGTTCGCGGAGCTTGAGCATGATCTGCTCTCTTTGAAGTCGGTAGAACTCCTGAGTCACCTCATCGAGTCCGCTGATGTCTTTATTCATGATGGCTGCATCGGCCATGTTCTGCATCGTTTGAGTCTGGCTTTGATATATGTCGTTCTGGCGCTTGGATTGACTTGCGATCTCGGCTTGTGCGGTTGCCATGTCCTTCATTATCCGTGCCTCCGTAGCCGCATCCCTCAGAATCGCTTTTGCCCTTTTTTTCCCCCCTGGTCGTTCTGGCTCGGGTCAATCGGGAGTTTCACTCGGAGTCTCGGTGTCTGAAGCTTGTTCAGAGGTCAAGGGGGGTGCTTCACTGCTTGGGCTTCTTGCTTGCTTTTTCTTCTTCTTGGGGCCTTTGACGGTCTTTGTGTTCATATCTTGAAAATAATCGGACCATTTCGGAGAAGAGGTGAGGATATTGTAGCACTGAAGGAAGCCAAACGTCTTTCCTTGAAGCTTGGAAAAAAGAGCAAGAGCCTTTGTCAATCGATCCTCGGAAGTGGCACCGCTGGGATTCAACTGATCGATGTGTTTGACGCAACCGGTGTGGTGGCGGGAGCGCGCCTGGGCCAAAGCTTTGGCCGGTTTGTTTGGGGGCATGCGGAATGCTCGCGGCGCTGACGCGGAAAGCACGCGGAGCTGACGCTACACAAGCAGGCTGAGGAAAGCGACGGTGCATTAGTGGAAAGTCTAGCTTTCCAAGGCGCGGGAAAGCGGGGAAAAGTAGATCGAATGCACAAGGTTCTGAAAAGCTTACTGCGGGGAATCCGGGCACCGGCGGACACCGGGTATCACGGCCGACTGCGGAACGGGGGTCAGCGTATACTGCGGAGGGGCTACAAGGAGCGGGGAGCACCGAGGGGCGGAAGCGGGGTTCGGAGCGGACCAGAGGCGGAAGCGGCGGTGGGAGACCTGCTTATGAGCGGCCGGAGGAGTACCTGGACCGACAGGCGTCGGAGGGGTGACATGCGGAGTCCGAGGGGGTGACAGCGGATGACATTGCGGGAAGCAGGAAGGGACTGGAGTGTGGGATACTTAGGAGGAGTGGAGTTCGAGGCAGAAGAGGGGGGAGAGAGGGGCAACTTATGACTCAGAACATATCAGAAAAACAGAGTGACTTAGGAGTGAATCGTGTATTAGCCTAAAGAATTGTTAGAGATAGACTAGAGTTAGAGCATTACCAACCAAAGAACAACAAAAGAGAGTTATTTTACCGACCTACAAGACCATCAAGCAAGTTACCCCGGACAACAAACCGGAGTAAGACGTGTTGCGGAGCGGAGAAGTGCAAGAAATACCCTAGGGCGCGCCTTTCTTTCCACACCGGCGAATTTGCTGACCCCATGAGAGATAAGTTGCCAGCGACCCTTGAGACTACCAATCGGTTGAGGCGGCTGAGGAATTGTGCCGTGGTAGCATTTAGATATGCGATCCCAGAATCGAGTGCCGGCTTGATCGGTCCCAACACTTGGATCCTCGGAGACCTCAACCCAGGAGGAGCTTAGCTGAGCATCCTCATGATCTTGATAGGTGGGTCCCTTCTTTCGCTTTTCTTTCTTTTCCCCTTTGGTGTTTGCTTGGTCTGGATCGATCAAAAAGAAAAAAAGAAATAAGCAACATAGATTTGAACGAAAGCGCATAAATTGTACATACCTTCCGTTTCATCAATGACCAAGAGCAGATCCAATGCGGGAGTAGTCGTAGTACTAGCCGCCATTGTCGTGTTGTTGGTAGTCAAAGGATTCTTGTATATTCACTACCAACCGAGAGTTGGGATATCGGGGGTGGAAGGGTTGTTGAGGATTGGGGTTTCACAAGATGGAGCAAGGATTTCACGGATCCCCAAGTGGTATCAAGGGAGGTACCGGGGTGGTAGTCTACCACCTCGATACATTTTTTGTTCTGAAAATGTAGCTTACCTCCCCGTATACCACCCGCGGTGGCGGGGTGTTTTGGGAATTGGGGTGGTAAACGGGGCTTACAACCCGGATTTACCACCCGCGTTGGAGATGCTCTTAACGTTGAATGATTTAACAATCCTATCCTGTATTTAGAATCAATTAGCATAAACCTGAGGCAAAAGCTGAGACCAAAACTCAACAGATGGGTCCCAGTCAGTGTGGGTAACCACAATCGTAAGATCAGCCTTTTTAGTGGTCTTAAGTTCTTCGTCCTTGGCGTGTTCAGGTTTGAGTACAGAGATAACCAATCCAAGTCCAGAAGTGAAGGTTTTGTCTGTAGAATCATCTATTTGACTTGGAGCGGGACATATCTTGGACACAATATCAATAAAATAGTTCAGAATAGGAGGCGCGGGACTATTTAGGAATAAAATCTTTCCCGAAAGGCTGTATATAAAGTCTGGGGAAAGGCTGTGTTCAACGGAAGCGCTGGTATATAAGAGAACACGATAATCTACTGGTTCCAGGGCATTACAGGTAACATAACTGGGAGTTGATATAAGACCATATATTTGACCCGACTTGATTGAGGCATTGAACTAAATCGTGGTATTGGGTTAGTATAACGTTTATATCTTAATTTATGAATAAGAGACCTACATATTCTAAAGGGCAGACGTTGCTACGACAAGACAAGGACCAGTTCTGAGTTTTTTCTTTATCGGCCATGTTCAATGGAAAAATGTGTTTCAGATGAAGGGAACGACAATTCATTGGCGACAAGACCAACTTATATTGAGGCAAAATGAGGGCAAACCCAGGGCCTCAAGCACATGCATGGGTTAATTGTTGACAATAGATCAAGAAATTGCCCAAAATAGGTCTAGGAAATAGAATCTAGGATCAAGTATAAGGATAGGATTATATTACAAATACTATGCGACAATGTAATGGTTTGTATATTGAGTCAAAAAAATTAATGTAAGGAGACAGCCAAGACAACATTCTGCAAATCACAGGGGGCAACTATGTGACAACAGGATAAGTTTTATAATGGCCCACAAAATTGAGTATAAGTAGACGCCCAAGACAACATTGGGCAAAGTATATTGTACAGAAAGAATGACCTGTTAAATTCACAGACCTGTCACAGGCTCTACACTCTCGGATCAATTCCCATTCTCCATTTTCTTAATCTTCCTTTCTTCCTCATCTCATTCATTAACCCTCACAACCTCATTCACCTCAATCTCTATTACACAAACACATCACCTCCTTCAACCTATCAATCTCAATCTTACTTCCTTCTCATTCTTATCCCTGATCTCTCCTTCTTCTGCCTGGTGAGATTTGACTGTTCTCATTCTCTCTTCTCTCAACTTCTCTTCACTGACAAACTCTTCTTCAGTCTTCAACTCTTGTTCTTCCTCTTCCAACTCTCTCTCCATCAAGTTCATTCTCACAAGTTCTTCTGTCTCAATGTTGGTTCTATTTCAACTATTTCTTTCTTTCTTCTTCTCTTTTCCTCCTATTGTCTTTCTTTCTCATTGACATCTTTTCTTCTAGTGTGTCGGCTCTTTTATGCAATAAATCACAGATTCAGTTTCTTTTACGGTTAAAAGCCTACGACCGATCAACGCATGTCAAGTGGAGCCGACGCAGGAGCGCAAGGAACATCGACTGAGGGGAATCCATCGACACGATCGTCAAACTCGTCAACGATGGCGACAGTCTCAAACAACGATGGTTTTCGTCAGGCGATGCTAAAAACCGCGCTGGAGACGATCCCTCAACTGACGGAGGAAAACTATTCAATATGGAAGGACAAGATGACAGCTTTGCTCGAGCTGCGAGGGGTACTTGTTCTACTCGACAAAGACGACGACACAGCTCTAGCAAACGACGTCAACGCGGAGCTTAAACTGCTCCTTATATCAAAAATGGACAGTGTCACTCACAACAACATCGTGACGGCAGATAATCGCGGATCAGCTAAGTCGCTCTGGAAAGCGATCAAAGATCGATTCGCCTCCTCTCAATCGTCGAACAGGGCTCGAATCTTCAACGAATTCCTGTATGTCAAGTTCAAGGAAGATGCTATCAAAGCGTTCGTGACCGATACCAAGGTCTCAATCAAGAAGCTTGTCGATGTAGGGATAGATCTCCCACAAGATATTCTCGCCTACCTCATCTTATTCAAATTCCCGGATACTTTACAACTCCTCAAACGCCAAATCATGCATTCGGACAAAGATCTAACAGTCGAATTCGTCTGCAATCACCTCACTCAGTTCAATAACGAGAATAAAGCTGAAGTCAAGGAAACCTCATCTTCATCGCAAGCGGCATTGGTTTCGACGAAAAACAAACGAACACCGCGATCAAACGGGAGCGAAAGGAATCCTAATGACTCTACTAATCCATCGGGAAATACTCCCGGTCCGAAGCGATGCACAACTGGATTTCACAACCCAAAACAAGATTCAAATCACTCAGCAGACTCCTGCTGGCACTTGCATCCAGAAAAGGCTCCGGAATGGTGGCAAGAAGCCCAAGCTAAATGGAAAGCAGGGAAAAATGTAAACTATTACATGTCTCTGATAACGCTGTGGATAGAGAATGGACATCCCGACTCGAAAATAATCCTCGACAGTGGCGCGTCAGCTCATATCTTCAACGACAAACGGTTCTTCGACAACCTCGAACTTAGAGACTGCGACGTCATTCGCACCGGAAAAGAAGACGCCACTCTGCCCATTAAAGGAACGGGCAACGTAACACTGAAGTGGGGACAACTTACGGTCTCGTTGGAGGAATGTCTATACGTACCCGACATTGTAGTTAATCTAATCAGTGCCGGTTCTCTAATTGAAAAAGGATGTCACCTATCAGCTCAAGCAGGAACGTTCTCTGTTTCAAAAGGGGATCAGAGACTGTTCAAAGGAAAGGTTTTCAACAATCTATTCAGTGTCGAAAATCCGGACCTTGTAGGCCAGTCCGTCAATTACTCGGCTCACTTCTCTTCCTCATCCGAGTCCCTAAAAGAAATCCATGAGAAATTCGGTCACGCTTCTCTTCAACGCATCAAGCAATTCATACCCGACTCAATACCCAAATCTGAATTGGACAACTTCGAATGCAAGTCATGCGTGCTCTCAAAAATCACCAAACAATCCTTCAAAATGGAGTCTCAACCAGCGACAAAAGTCTTCGAGAGGATTCACCTCGATATCATTGGTCCAATCACTCCTACTTCGAAAATCCAATCAAGATTCATCCTCACTCTAGTCGACAACTACTCCGGTTACCTTGCTGGATTTCCAATTGCCAAGAAGGACGATACCACCGACGTGCTCATTGACCTATTGGAAACTGAAAAGAAGAGACTCGGATATTTACCGACTCAAATCTGTTCAGATGGTGGAGGAGAATTCACGGGGAACAGGTTAGTCAAGTACTTGGAGGAGAATCACATTCGGAGGCTAATTTCAGAACCGTATCATCCGGAACACAATGGTAGAGCTGAAAGAGCAAATCGGACAATCGTCGAATCGATGCGAGCTACCTTCAAGAGCTCAAAAATAGGGAAGAATTACTGGCACGAAGTTTTGAAATCTTGCTGCTTGGCTCTCAACCAGATTCCACGCAATGGATTCACCCAGTCGCCATGGGAAATTGTCCACGGTCGTCCCTTCCCAGAATTCCTTCTCAAACCGCTTGGAACGCACTCCGTCATCCTCAACTTGCGCAGAATAAAAGGCAAAAAGTTCGAGGAGAAAGGACAGGACGGAATCCTTGTGGGTTTCAACGTTCCTTTTCAATCTTATCGCATTTTAGTCCAATCTGGAACCATCATTGAATCCAAACATGTACGGTTCTTCAAATCAAATCAGATCGAATCCAGACTTGACGACTCCGATGACTTCTGCCAAGACTTTCAAGACGTTTCAAAACCATCTCTCAAAGTATCCACTGTGAACAAGGACCAATTCACCGATAATGACTCCGAGTCTATCGATCAGGAAGGGATGGAAGATAACATACAAGAACAAATCGATGAAACATCCAATGAATCGTCAGACTCAGAAGATCAAATTCTAGACTTGCTCAAACCTCAAGAACCGCCTCAACAATCAGAAACTGTCGGCAGAACTCTCAGAGACAGATCAAGCCTCAAACCTCCAGAAAGATTTGGATTTCATCACTACTACGAACCAAATACTTTCGAGTCGGCTATCAGATGCGCAGACGAGAAATTCTGGAGATCAGCAATTGAAAAAGAAGTCTCCACTATTGAGAATCACGAAGTCTGGGACAACCATTACACGGAACCTCCCAATCCACTCGACACGACTTGGGTATTCAAGATCAAGGACAACTGCCACGGCGATCCCTTAAAACACAAAGCTAGATTATGTGTCCAAGGTTTCGAACAAATAGAAGGTGAAGACTACGAAGGTACTTTTGCTCCAACTGGAAAAGTGTCCACGCTCCGGATGATTCTTCTGTATTCACTTCATCAAAATCTATCAGTTACTCAATTCGATGTTCAGGGAGCTTTTCTACATGCTCCACTCTCCGAGGAAGTTTACATCAAGACGCCAAAGGGAGTGAATCGAAACGCACCGTATCTGAAACTGAAGAAAGCACTCTATGGCCTCAAACAAGCACCAAAGAATTGGTACGAAACCCTCACGGCATGGCTCGAATCCATTGGATTCCAAGAATCAAATTGCGATCCATGCATGTACCTATGCGATGATAAAATATCCAGAATCTTCTTCCATGTTGATGACTTGATACTAGTAGGCTCCGGCAATGGATTCAAGGAAAAATTCGAACAACGATTCTCCAATTCCTCCTGCCACGATCCTAATACCATCCTTGGAATGAAATTCGAAAGACTAGACAACAAGATTCTTCTCTCTCAACCAAAACACATCGAACACGGCTTGGAAGAACTCGGCCTCTCAAACTGCAAACCTTCAACAACCCCGCTGACTCCTAATCTCAAACTTAAAGAAGCTTCAGACGAAGATCATGCTCTCTTCAAGAAAGAAAATGTCAATTATCGTTCAGCAATCGGACTCATGAACTACATAGCTGGTTATACCAGACCAGACATCAGCTTTGCCGTCTCCAGCCTGGCAAGATTCTCAACCAAACCCGGAATGACCCACTGGCGTGAAGTCAAGAAGGTCTGGCAATACATTCGACATACTAGAGATCTCAAACTCTCTCTTGAAATCAGGAAACCCAATCAACTTCTTGAAATATACAGCGATGCCTCCTGGGGAGATGATCCAATAAATCGAACCTCCCAGTCTGGATATCTATGCTATCTCTTTGGGGCACTAATCTCCTGGAATAGTTGTAGACAACACAATGTTACGTATTCCTCTACAGAAGCTGAACTCAATCCTCTGGTCGACTCATTTCACGAGGGAACCTGGCTGAAGGCTCTCCTATCAGACATCTGGAACATCCAACTTGAAGCTGCTACGCACTATATCGATGATAAAGAACTCAACGAAAGGCTGATGATGAACGATGACGATTTCAAAGCAAAATTCGCCAATACACATTACATCGACAACAAAGGATTAGACGACAAACTGAAGAAATTCGGTTCAAACCCCAAAACTCGTCACATCGACCTCAAAACCAAGGGAATCAGACAAGAACTCAAATTCAAAAACATCAAAATAATCCTAATTCGCACGTTCGATATGTTGGCCGATGCCCTTACCAAGGCAGCTCCTAAGTCTTCAGTCTTCAACCTCACCAAAACTGTTGATCCTTCTTCTTCATCTTCCTAGTCAAATCGCTCGAGTCGCGGGGAGTGTTAAATTCACAGACCTGTCACAGGCTCTACACTCTCGGATCAATTCCCATTCTCCATTTTCTTAATCTTCCTTTCTTCCTCATCTCATTCATTAACCCTCACAACCTCATTCACCTCAATCTCTATTACACAAACACATCACCTCCTTCAACCTATCAATCTCAATCTTACTTCCTTCTCATTCTTATCCCTGATCTCTCCTTCTTCTGCCTGGTGAGATTTGACTGTTCTCATTCTCTCTTCTCTCAACTTCTCTTCACTGACAAACTCTTCTTCAGTCTTCAACTCTTGTTCTTCCTCTTCCAACTCTCTCTCCATCAAGTTCATTCTCACAAGTTCTTCTGTCTCAATGTTGGTTCTATTTCAACTATTTGTTTCTGTCTTCTTCTCTTTTCCTCCTATTGTCTTTCTTTCTCATTGACATCTTTTCTTCTAGTGTGTCGGCTCTTTTATGCAATAAATCACAGAGTCAGTTTCTTTTAACCTTCTTCTTCATGCTGGGTTCTGTTGCATCCGTACGATGTACAATGACATACATACATGGGATTTAGGTTCTTCATGGAATCTGACGTATAAATTTGACAAGGGATGAGAGCAGTGCAGGAAGCTTGAGTTGCGAAATAACAGGAGTAATTTTTGAGATATAGGATATGTCTTCCTTGTTTGATAAATAGATTATACGACTGGTTTAAATATATTTGTTGGTTGACCTTTCAGCCTCACACATGAGGTTTGTAAAACCGCATTGCATCATTCACCAAATTCTCCTCCTGAACAATATTCCTGAGTGCAATCACACCACTGGAAACGTGATTTTCCATCTCAGGGGCCAAAGAAGTTGTTCATTGAAACACCGCTAGGGTTGTGTTATCT